GCTTTTTATATGATTTTATGAGACAATTCACGTAGCATCAGGATTGGGATGAAACACTAGCGCGAACGGGGGATTTGTGAACAGAGTCCATATGAAAGCGTCAGCGGCGGGAGGTGGCTGGACGAGTGTTCCTCGGCGTAGCCGAGGCAGCTGGGTCAAGAAGGGGAGGGGAGACAGGACAGCTGGCTCGCCATTACAGTCACTTCACGGGATTTGATCTCCATGTGAAAATGGGAAATGGGAAAATGGGAGCCGAAGCCGGCGAGGGAGGGAGTATTCAGTCATGTGTAATCGAGTAAAGGAGGGCGGCCAGCATTCGAGAGAGGATGGGGACAGCCTTCGAAAGAAGTAAACAATCATTTTTGCAGGTCGCACAGGAGCTTCGCTGGAGTAGGGACTTGGAGAATTTCAAACTTGTTCAGCTTAAATTAACAAACGCCAATCCGCAAAATTCGCGGCCTAGGTGGCATTTGACCCCACGTCAGCGTGAATCTTTTCTAACGACCACATGAAAAGCATAGGACACCTATTATGCTTGTGAGAAGAAAGCGATTCGATCGTTGGGAAAACTATTTTATTCACCTGACCTTTCAATATCCGTTGCGGATTCCTCATCACAGATATGATCAAAAAAGCAATAGCAGAAACGGGTAAGATATACACAGGCGAATAAGAGGGTTGTCCCAGTAATCAAATCGCTTTCTTCTCAATTACTTCCTAGCACTCGCATCTTCGGTTGTATTACTTATTAGTTTTCTCTCAAGCGGGATTTGTCACTTCATCAATGCCAACTGTCACATGAGCGAGTGACTTTGAGTTCTCTGAAAAGCTTCTCGGATAAGAAGGTCCTCTGGCAAGAATAGTACAACTAGTGGATCTCATATACAGGTCAGGTCAGTTTTATTAAGGGAAATGCACGCAAACGCCTTTGAACCACCTGTTGGTACACAGTAGTGGAGAAATGCATCGGTATATTCTCCTCTATTGACAGCAGAACATTTCCACAGGGACCGTTTACATAATTGCGTGTGAAAGTCGTTTTGCTCCGAAAAGTAAACTTGCAGCAATATTCACTTGTTCCGAGTAATATCCTCACAGGTGCTGGTGTCAGTTAACACAAGCAAATAGGTGTGACTATGCAAAAAGAGGACACAGTGAAATTAACTCGTACGGCATGGCTCAGCATTTATAGATGTAAGCTAACAAGCGTACATGTGTGTTCCAGGAAGCAATTGAGAAGAAGAAGACTCGACTGGGACAATATGTTTATTCGCCTCACGTTTCGAAATCCGTCGCGGATTCATCATCAAAGACATTAACAGTAGCAGAAGTGGCTAAGGCAAGCACAGAAGATTGCAGTATTTACAGGATACAGTCATTACTGCAAACAAACAACGAAAATTAACGTTAATTGCCTTCTTGCGCGTGGGTAGTTAGTTGGACGACACGCGGGCTCTGACCTGTTGAACTTTCATCAGAGGAGGTGGGCTTGGGCGTGATGATTGTTCGGCCATCTGGCTCTCCGGTGTTGACGTAAGATGGGGCCTCCCCGTTCCGCAAGTGACGACTTGTTTTGGCCAAATTGAATCTCAT